CCCCAAAACCCCAAAACCCCAAAACCCCAAAACCCCATGATTATTTCCTAAATATTTACTAGTCTCTTCTGAGAAAATGGAGAAGGCTTCCCAATGCCTTGACAAATTATTAGATAAAAGTTGCAACCAAAGAAACAAGGCAGAGGGATAACCAGGGCTAGAAAATATACCTACTGCGTAGCGAGTATAGAATTTTTTGGATGAGAAATACGCACCTAAGCGTGTGGTAATTCTTTGAAGTCGAGAAATTAGCAACAAAAATACTAATTTTTACACCTGTGTGGACTATTTTTGAGTATAACTAGTGAAAATGGTAAATTTGATATCAAAACTAAATTTTTGGCATTGATGATAGAAATTTTATAACTTCTTATGCCTTATTAGTTCTCATTTATCATTTTAAATGCTGCAAATTGTGCCAAAACATTTTCCTTTTGGTCTCCAAAGATCTTCAATTTCCTATTACTTGCGAGATCTTGAAGAATGCCTAGCTGAGACATTTGCAATTCGTGAATTCTTTTATCTGTAAGTCTGGCTTCTGCTTTTCCTCTAATTCTAATTTCTTCAGCAAATTTTTCAGCTGTTGCTTGCCTTGCCTCTGCTTCTTTGGTGAGAACATAAGCTTCAGCCTCAGCAATAGTTTCGTTGTACTTCGCTCTGCCTTCAGCCAGAATCCTGGCCTTTATCATCTTAGTCTCTGCCTTGACTTCTTCAGCCTCAAGAGCAGAGATTGCGTTAACTTTCGCTACCTCTACCCACGTATTCTCTCTAACCTCAGCAATAATCTTAGAAGTATCAGCATTAATTTTGGCATGATCCTTCTCAATCTCAGCTTTGAGCTTATTGAACTCCTCTGTTTCAGCTTGCCTACCTTGCTTCATCTTCTCCTTCTTCTGATTGTACTCCTGGTCGTCATTAATACATCTAAGTTCGAAGGACTGCTGCTTCTTTTCAAGTGTATTCTTTGACGCATAAGTGGTCTTTTCTTCAAGTTGGTCTGCAATCCCTCTGTCTAGTCTTACATTAGTAATGATGACGCTTCTGATCTCGACTCCTTTGTCTTCGAAAATTCCGTTCATGTACTCCGTCAGCTGATGGGTGACAGATTTGGCATTTTCTTGGCCTCTTCCGCTGTTCTTACCTTTGATACTGTAAGCTTCAAGATGAGTCTTAGACCTGGCTAAGACCCTGATCCTTTCAGAGATGACAGCCTCGAGTTGTTCATTGAGCTGGTTTACGCTTGTCTTCCTGATGAAATTCTTTATATTATCCTCTCCAGGCCTCACTCTCATGACGATAGAGACCTCAATCTGGACAAAGATGTTATCAATAGTTGGGCAATTTCTCACAGGGACATCAAATTGAAAGTTTTGCTTGGTAATCATGAACTGGATCAGAGTATATGGCATTCACCAGTGATATCCTGGCTCCCAGACTCCTTGATAATTACCATGCTTAGTGACAACAGCATAGGAGCCCTCTGGAACTATTATATAAGGTTTGCACCAACTTCTTTCTGGCATGCAGATAATTGGTGTGTGGCCTTCTGGTGTAAAATTTCCAAAAATAGAAATAGCATCGTCAACGTCTCCACAATCGACAGCCACAAACTTGGTTTCTCTGGACTTCTGATAATTATGATGTACTAGATCTCCCATTGTAACGAAGGATTTTATTTAGAAATAAAATTATTCAAATTTAAATCCCTACGGAGGGGTTTTGGGGTTTTGGGGTTTTGGGGTTTTGGGG